GCGGGCTTGCGGTCTGGAATGGAAAAGAAAACAAGACAACACATATTTCCACTCCACGACATCCATGGTTTACATACACAACATTGAAAGAATATTTTTTCCCCCAAATCGGACTTTATCGCAGCATGTTGCAAATTTTAAGAACTAAACATTTTATTTTGGAAAGGGGACAAACTAGAAGAATGAAGTTCTCCATTTTGACTTTTTTCCTCCCTCCACAAAAATCTCAAAAATGAACTTTCCCTCACAATGGAGCATTTTTGTCAAAATATCATAAACCTCAAAAAGTTCTTTTTCTGAACGTACATCATTTTTGACAAGATCTTTTGATGGCATGTGTTTTTTTATAAGGCGCAGAAGAGGCCTGAGGTTTTTATTTTTGTGCATGTATGTACCAGGCGGCGGCTGCGAGGTGGGCAACGGTGGCATGGGGCTCTCCAGTCGAGGAATCTTTGATCCAACTTGTTCTGAAGATAAAAGGAGATCAAACGTGCTCAAATATTAAAAAGCGTGATCAATGGCTATTATTCAAAGAGATAGGTGGTGGGGGGACTGTACCTGGGGGCTTTGGTTCTTCCTTGGGGGAGGTCTGCGTGGAGAACCAAGATTTTAGTGACCGGAGGCAGGAAAAGGATGCAAATGAGGCGCTCGCTCACGTGTGCTCGTTTGAGTTGTCGGGTGGGGCTGCCGCCCTGCGGGGACGCCTTCTTGGCCGGCGGCGGGGGCGGGTTGGCGGCTAACGGCGGCGCCGGAGGGGTGGGGGTCAGGGCGGGGGCGGCGGGCGCCCGCTCCTTTTCCTGCATCTGCTGGGGGATGGGCTTGTTGCCGTGGGAGTACAAGTCCAGGATCTGATGGCAGATGTCTAACACACAACATTGGCCTTTCCTTTACAACTTTGTTTCGACAGCGTCTTTATGTTCCGCTGATGACGGGCAGTACCTTCCAGAAGCTCGACGGGGACGTCCTGGACAAACTGCTCCCACCATCGGCGGGACGACTGCTTGGCCGTCCACTCCTGGATGTCGAACTTGCACAGGCGGCCCGCCAGGTACATGACGGCCACGGCGATGATTTCCGGCTCCCACTGGAGCGACAGCATGGTGCACAGGCTGCTGGGTGGAGGGCCATTTTGGTTACTACGGGGCTGCTGGAAGCCTCACCCGTTGTTGTTGTAGTAGATAATTTTTTTTTTTTTTTGCATCCCCTTAGTTGGACCCCTTTTCCTGACAAATACGTGAAAAAGACGAGAAAACAAACATACAAAAAAGACTCCAAAAATAAAACCAAAAGTGGTCATTTTTCTAATTATTTATACAGAAAAAAATACACGATTATGAGGGGAGAGTAAAAGGGACGATACCTTGATCCAAGTTGCAAGTTCACATTTTTTTTTTAAGAAGAAAATGACATTTTAGGAATATTACAACTTATTATGTTGTCAGCAAGTAGTTTCTCGAAATAACTATTTTACAATGTCAGCACCATTTTTCTCCTAATCCCACTTAGTCCTCCAAGTTGTGTGAATGGCAATGGCGTAAGAGTACATTCTCGCCATCTAATGACGGAGCATTTGATTATTCTGTCTGTCACTATACATTGCTGGCATAGAAAAATGATTTTTAAATTGACTAAATAATTGAATTTGGGAACAAATTCAAGTGAATCTGATGGCACAGTCCGGTGCAGCCTAACAGCCTGGTGGCGTTTCCCCATCGTAGCTCAAAGGCGATGAATGCGAGCGGTCACCTGTCGTTGACGAAGGTCCAAGCCATCTGGAGAACCTTGCACACTTTGTTCTTCTCCCCTTTCGCAAACGCAAAACGTCAATTGGCAACACTCAATGACAAAAATGACCATGTTCATCGTGTGAAGATATATCACCGCGCCAACCTTTGAGCTGCTTCACGTAACGCAGGAGGAACATGTACGGGTGCTCCACCTGCAGGTCGAACTTGATCGTCTGCAAAAGGATTCGCTCCAAAACCATCACCTCCTCCTGCAACAAACACAGACGCACCGTTTGCTTGCATCTTTTTCGAGCAACGGCGGTCAACTTATTTCCCATAAAAATGGTTGCGAGGCGCACCTTGGGGTCGTCTCCAAACTGAGCAAACTGCACATCGTTGAGCAAACTGCGTGCCGTCTTGATGATGTCTTTACACTTTTTGGGGGTTTCCTCCACTTTGCCCGCCAGAAAGAGACAACAAGCGCCCGTCACCTCAAACACAAACACCGCGTTAATGTTCCATTTTATGAAAACTATTTTCTCAGTTAAAAAAAAAAAAAAAAACATTTGAGAATTGGACTGTACCATTTTTTATGGATGCATGTTTCTCGAGAAAGATTATTTTCCTTAAACTTATTTCCCCCGCCCCCCATAAAACACAACTTACATATCTGGGAAACTGCTTGAAAGAGTGAAACATATAGAAGCGGTGGAAGTAGATGATGCCAGTGGCCAGTGTGTCATAATGTCTGCCAGTTGTCAAGGAAGCAAAACACAGACGCAAGACGTGCTACTTTTGAAACACAGGTCAAAGAAGAGGATACAAGCCAAGTCGGGTGCCCACGTCGAATATGAAGCGGGCCCCCTCTCTGCGGTAGCGCGCTTCAGTACCCGGGTCAAGGCCTTCCGACTGAGAGGGTGTGTGCGCCAAATCCTTCTTGTCCCAATACCAGCACGGCTTGATGTGGTCCAACATGGCCTGTTGGCTCGCCGCGGCATTTTCTTTCGACTCCTTCGTCGGCTGGGGGGAGGTCACTGAGGACGAGGGACCAGCGTTGACCGCCTGCTAGGGGGTGGGGTGGGGGACACCACACATACATACACACCATGAAAGATGGATCTATAGACATATATATATATATTTTAAACGGTTTTTATCGATTTTTTTATTCCACATTCTTATGCATCATCGATTACATACTTTCTAAGCTTTCAAAGTTTGTTAAGTGTCTCGTGAGTTGAGCAGAAAAAAAAATTCCTGTCGAGTACAGACCATTATGACTTAAAAGAGGCTCAATATTCCCTCATTCATTACGTCAATACATTCAATTATGCTCACAATTAGCACATGAACCTGAACAGCTTCGTGAGATCACCGCACACTGACATTAAATTATTGAACACCCTGCACTTGTGATATTAGGCTATTTAAAAAGCGAAATAATTGAGGGAGAAAAAGTGAACGTTTCACTTTGTCATTCACGCGATGCTGGCGAGCTAACGAGCTAGCATGCCAAGCTCGCTTCGATAGCGTCACGGCGATCCGAAAACGCCAATAATTACCAGAATTTGCAATTTTCTTCAGACGGAGGGTATCCTACCTTTAACATTAATTCGCCGGCGTAAAATATCCTTCCCGACGACTTGCAAGAACAATTGTTGGTCAACTCCAAATATGCTAGCAAGCGGCATCCATTGTGACTGGAAAGAACGTCGCCATTACGGATTCCAACGGATGTTGCGTAGTGTGACGTCATTAAGCGTGTTTAGCGATACCCGGAACTATGGCACGCAAATTTATCCGTCATGAACATCGTAGATATAAATGGAATTACATTTTGCGCTTAATACACCGCCGAGCTTCGAAATATACGACGACGACTAAAAAATAAAAAAATAAAAACAAATAAAAGAATTCCCAACCACGACTGAACAAGATGTTACAATTGGCGTTAAATTTTTGTTTTTAAGCCTTTCATATGTCTGCTGCATTTTATTCTGATTATTTTCTATTAATAATAATAATATTGTACTGTTATCGTTTGAGGCACTTTTATATATAGTAGCTGCACTTGCAATTACGAACACTAGACGGAGCCAAATAACTACTTGTCAATTTGGACAAACCGATGTTTCATTTAATCAAATGTGACACCTGACACCGTTTGTAAAAATGAATTTCAGATCCAAGTAGAGGAGGACAAGTGGCGTCTAATTTAATCAAATGTGACTCTTGACAGCATTCACAATTATTACTCATAGTACAATGAGAGAAATGTGTTTTGCTTTGTGCCGTATCTGAAATTATTCGTCGTGCTAGAATCAGAGAGAAATGTGTTATGCTTTGAAAGGATACACATGCACATTGTATTTCTGCCGTAATTTTCATTGGGAAGATTGGCATAGTGCTGCACGTCAAAATACAGTTATACATATATAAAATACATAATCAACCGTATACCGTCCCAGTAGTATATTTTCACCCTTCCTCGGTCATGTCTATTATCATTATTTAGAGCATGAGCAGTGACTGTCATGCAATACCATGCTAATTTGGCTACTAATATTTCCGAAACAATTAAAATTGACATCATGTCATGAACAAACACGGCCTGCCGTGAAAAAAACAAGTTTCTGAATGACATTGGTCGACCCGCCTTGATTCATCTGTACATGGCGGGCGCACCTCTGAGACGCACCCGCAGTGAATCATTTAGGCCCCCCTATTAAAATCTGCATTCATTATAAATTCATCGGCGCTCGGACAAATCCTCTTAACTGGTGGATGGAAAAGGAGTAAGAGCGTCATCTGCTTGTATCGCCCGTAGCAAGGGAGCGTCTCAATGTGTCACTCACGTCAACACATGCACGCGCGCGCACACACACACTCCCGGATTCCACAGTAAATCAGCTTATGAATAATATATCTATCTACTTTCTTTATTAATATTAAACATTGCATAATGAAGCGCTGCGCCTTCAGATGAGTGCAATATTCATATTTCCATGAAGTGGACCTCTCATTGTTTATGTCATGCTGAGCTTTGACGCATCCAAATGGGCGCGGCCTTTGACCCCAAGGGTGCCACATTCATGTGTTTTCTTTTTTCTTTTTTTTTAACCTACTTTTGACTCATAAAAACTGCATTGTGTGCACTGTTTGTCCTTGTATCTGTTGGCCTATTTTTATTTTTTTTGGAGGGTATCATTTTTTTGCCTAATTTGAAAATGTATTTTATTTTTCAAAAGGGCAACTTAAGCTTTTTACAAGTAATTTAATTTTCCCTTTTTTTTTAAATTAATTTCTCACTTGTCGGATATTTATTTAACATTTACGTTTTTTTTAATTGTCCTTTTAGTGAAAACGAAGGTTAAAATGTTACGTAAAAAAACACTGGTTAAAGCTTTTACGATCTGGATGGTTTCACCCAGGAACAGACCATTTACACATCCACCGCTCCTATAGGGAAATGTTTATTTATTTGGAATTGTATTTGCAACAAAGTGACCAGGCTCATTTCTTGGCTTGTGTTTGACGTCCGAAGTTACTGTGTGTCATGTGAGCGCACCAAAACTTTTTTGCTCTTTGCCCGGTTTCTTCCAAACACCCCGAGGTGCGTTCAGGTACCCAACGGCTTGACAGCGGCACTCAGCATGCCCCCTCGGAGGCAACACTTTGGACTTAAAACATTTCTCATGTCCACAAACGGTATTTGTGGTGTATGCCGCGCACCCAGTGTGCAGGCTAAACTGCCTGCGCATACAAGCTATAATGGAGACATTGATGTATTATTGAGCGCACCCACGGGTGAGGATCAAGGGAGTCGGGGAGAGTGTGTGTGAACTCGGGTTTGTGTTTTTTTTTTCCTTTAGTATCTGCTGGAGTCGCTGCTTGCAACAAGAACAAAATATAATACATGAAATCTGAAAGCACTCGCCAAAAAGTTTGGAAGTGTGTACAGCTACAGATTTCTGCCAGTTGGGGGCACCAGTTAATTTTTCAGCCGCACATTTGGTCTCACAATTTAGCGATGTCCATCTGTCCAGTACAGTGGTGCCTTGAGATATGAGCGACCAGACAGTGAATTTTTCGATATACAACGCCGTTTTTTTTTTTTTTTTGCCACTCCCAGTTGAAGTTTACTGTCAAAGTAAACATAAAACCAAGAACTTTACACATATTGAGGAAACAACCGCATGCAGTTAAAGGTGGGCTAAATGGAATTGAATGAAAGTTCTTACCACTGCTCATGCAATAGCACAGCACAATGAAATTCAGTTACAACCTGTCCAAGAGACGACCAAAATAAATAAAGAAATAAATAAGAAACTTACCAACAGAGCGAGACAAAACAGAGAAGCCTGACGATTCTCCAAACAGCGTCCCGATTACCTTAGATAAAAAAGAAAAACAAGTGTTGGGACAAGTGCCAAGGTTTGTGCCTATAAAGGATGGTGCACAGTATTGGATTGGGAGAAAAAAAACCCTCTGTGACAGTTACAACTACTTAAATAAAAATACAATATTTGAATACAGTATTTGTATTGTACTAATGAGCACCATCTACATGGCTGTTATAACACGTTGAGCAATGCATACTTGACCACAAAGTGGAACAACACATTGAGACTGATAATATACAGTTGGGGCATCTTGGTTTGGGGGCTGCTTTGCTACCTCAGAGCTTGGACCGATTGGTAGTGAAGGAAAAATGCTTACCAAGATATTTTGCAGAAGAACTCAATGCAACAGGACAATGACCCAAAGCACATAAGTAAATCAACAACAGCATGGCTTCAACAGACGAAAAGACGCCTTATGGAGTGGCCCAGTCAGAGTCCAGACCTCAACCCGACAGATGCTGTGGCATGACCTCAAGAGAGCGATTCACACCAGATATCCCAAGAACATTGCTGAACTGAAAGAGATTTGTAAAGAGGAATGGTCCAAAATTCCTCCTGACCATTGTACAGGTCTGATCTGGAACGACAAGAAACGTTTGGTTGAAGTTATTGCTGCCAAAGAAGGGTCAACCAGAAATTAAATCCAAGGGTTCACTTACTTTTTTCCACCACGCACAGTGAACGTTGACATGCTGTGTTCAACAAAAATGCAATATACATATTCTTTATCCTCTATACAGAACAAGTAATCTGGGAAAGGCTTGCCGAGGAAGGACGGCCTTTGTCGTGCCATCTCTGTCCTCCGTCGCGCGAGCGCGTCTGCCGAGGTTACGTCTACTTGAGCCAGAGCCAAGATGACATTTCATTTATATAAATAATTAGTGGCTCTGAAAGTCCCCGAGGCCTTCCCCACAGCAATCAAACTTCTAATGCTCTTAAAATTGCTCACCATCTTTTATTAATGGCCCGGCGTTAAATGTATCGCCGCTGTGGCGAGCAGGAGAGCAAACCCTTCTTTTCTTCTGCTTCTTGTGGTCCGCCAGGAAATGGTGTCAACATTTAAACGGCACTCTTTTATATTGGACAATGTATTGCTACTGCATTGGATCAGGTCACGGACGGTGAATGATGACGGCTCATTAGTGCTTTTTAATAGCCTTGGACTTTATAAAGCACATAGCAATAACATAATTAAATGCAATGAAAATAATTAAATGGTGAATTGATTGCGACACTTTCTGGTTGGCACCACTTCTCCACCGGGGGCAGTATAATACAGTCAAAAGACACTAATGAAGAAAACTTTCACAGCAACTTAAGTGACACAATGGTCAGTTAAAAAATCTCTAAAATCTACAAAACCTGTAAAATATACTTGAATAGCTGATTAAAAAAATACTATTGGGTATTTTGTATATAATTCAGGCTCTTCTGAGTTAAAAATAAAGTCTGAGAGCAAAAATTCTTTTTTGTTTGTTTTTTACTTAAGTACTTTACAAAAAACGGTGCTTCTCACTTTGAAAGATTTCAATCAGTACCTCTATTTAAACCTGTTAAAAAAAAAAAAAAAGTATCAGTACTTCAATTCAAGTACAGGGTGTCAGTACTTTCGCCACCTCTGCAGCTCCAGGCAGGCAAACCATGAAAAGAGGCGACACCTTGGCATGTTTCGCAAGGGGCCTACTCGACTGGGTCAACAGAGGGCGCTGTTGACTCATAACATGCGTGTCGATGGTCACGGCATCGGCCAAGCGGCAGCGCTTTTCACAGTCCGTGTCAACTACTTCACTGCAAACTTAAAAGGATTTTTCATTACTTTTAATTTATGCTCTTTAATGTAAGAGAAACGATATTTAAAATTGTGCATACAACACTAAATATATACACATTTTAAAAGATTGTAATTATATATAATTTTTTTAAAATGTCATACGTTTTCCTGTTTTGTCAACGATTCAGTGTGACGTTTACGGCGCCAATTGCTGCAATACAGCTGTCAATTTGAACAAGGGCAGTTTCAAGTTATTGATCAAAATATAAACTAAAGACATGTATAAAAAGCCAAAACATTTCGAGAGGTCAGAAAATTAATTTTTGAAGGAAGCCATTTTCCGATGCACCTTTCCCCGCTATAGTGACATTTTCCAGATTCCGATTGACTAAATTGACTTCTGATCGGCTGAAACGCCAGTGTGACCTGCATTTTTTTTTTTTACAATTAGAATTATTATTAAAATAATTTGTATGTTTTAACTTTAGATTTAAGCGTGACAGTCAAAAAAAAAAATAGCTGTCGGTCACTTTCTTCCTGCTTCTGATTGGCCAAAATGGTAGGGGTGGATTACAGCGCCTCCTGTTGGTCTGGCATGCATGTGGCAAACACGCGTACATGGCAATTATTTTACACTGGAAGCCTTTTGTTGCAAATAATAAAAAAAGGGGGGTGGGCATGTACAGCCCCAGCCTTTGGCCCAACTTGATCCGACCATGCCAGGCACTTCTCAAAACGCTGACACACACACACACACACACACACACACACACACACACACACACACACACACACACACACACACACACACACACACACGGGGTCGTCCTCTTAAACAAGACCCAACAGGGAAAGCGGGAGAAAACATTTGGACTCTCTTGTTGGACAAGGAGGAAGAGGAGGAGGAGGAGGAGGTGTCTTGTCTGCCCGTGCATTCTCTCTCGCTCGCTCTTTCTCTGCCTCGCTCTCCCTTTCTCTCTCTCCATCAGCGAGTCTCCCGCCACAGGAGCCAAGAGTTGCCGTTCCGAGCGCCGATGCCAAAACGCACACAAGGACCCGGTGCCAAAGGGCCATTTTTTTTTTTCTGAGCGCACCACTACCACCACCAGCAGCGAAAAGAAGAGGACGGTGCTTGCGGCAAGGATCCTAAATTTACACTGACAAGAAAGACGCATCGCAAACGCAGGATTTTGCAGCTTTCTGTTTTGGTTTCGGCATTGTGGGTTGTCACTCCTTTTCCCCCTGCTGCGCGCGTCCAGGTGTTTTTGTTTGCCTCCGAAAGAAGGGACAGCGTGCAGCGTGCATCCTTCTCGCCCGCCAAACTTGTGCGGCAATTATCGAGGAAGAAAAGCAGATCAAATCTAATCCACATTTAAAGAAGAAGAAGAAGAAAAAAAAGGAGGAGTAAGGGTCCGCTCCAGCCGAGAGCCACCAGCGGACCGACAAGACGGTCCGAGCCGACTCGAAGTGCCGTTCACCGGGCGATGCCAGAGTAAATGCCGGGGCGATGTCCCGCCGCAAGCAGGTGAACCCGCAGCACTTGTCGTTGAGCCACCGGGAGACGGCACCAGGTGAGATGCACGCCGAACCCTTCACGACATCTTTTCTGTGGCCGGCACGAAAAAAAAAAAGCCCCGCGCGTCGATATTTTTTTTTTTTAACTTGGACGCGAGCGAATTTCAAAACTCGCATTTTCTCTTGTTGGATTTCGACACGTGGATCTCTCGACAAACACGTAAACATCACGAAACACACCTGAATTATCGACCGTCAAGTCCCAACCGCGGTACAGAAGACGTTTGCGTTGAACTTCCTCGTTTATTTAGGAGCGGGAGAAACTGTCTTTTCTTTCGAAACGACGTCCGGCGATAATCTCACCGCAAGTATTGTTTGGACAAACGTGCGCGTGTTGTTTGAACACAAATTATTTGCGTAAAAAAACGTAGCTACCTCATTTGAACAATCTCGTGTGCATTGCACGTGCACCTCACGCCAATTGCACGCGTCCGTCACGTTTAAGTTACTTTGGTTTCTTATTGCAATCGCCATCACACAAATACGCACACGCACACACACATACATACACACACGTATACACACACACACGCACGCAAATGTTGCATAAAAGTTTGTTTAAACACAAGAAATCATGCATGACGAGATAAGAACTTTGGCTCATTTCATTTCTTAAAAGAATTTATCTTGACAAAGCCATTTGTGATTCTACACACTTTTATCTATTTGCTGCGCCGTAAAAGATTAAAAGTGTCCTCTAATCCGAATCTGAATATCAATTTGAACATTCATCGTCTCGGGTGCTGCCTGCTGCTCGATCCAATTTGATAGACGAGGCCTAATCGCGCTAATTCAATGCACACCAGCTCATGATGTAATCTGTGGCCAATGTTTTTTTTTTTTTTTTATGTGTGTGTTACAAATTATTGATCCTCATCACTTAGTGAGACAATTGAGGAGCTCTTTCATGCTATTCCCCCTTATTATTGCACTTTTATTATTGTTATTATTACAATCAGCGAGCCACGTTGCACACTTTGCATTATTTTAATTAGTCAAGTTGATTCATGTGCAGACAATTAATTTTAGAGTGCGGAGGAGAGCAAAAAAAAAAAAAAAATTAATAATCCAAACTACAGTTGCACCTCAGGGTGTGTGTGTCGAGTGCCAAGAGTGTTCATGAGTGTGTGACATTTACCTGCGTGCATCAAGACAAAAAAAAAAGTTTGCATATTTTCATTTGTCAGCTGCAGGGCACTCAGGCACTCAGTATGTGTGTGTGTGTGTGTGTGTGTGTGTGTGTGTGTGTGAGTGTGGAGGGGGGGCATACTGGGGGACAAATTTGTGGCATAACAGTTAAATATTTCCCACCTCCGCTCGCAGCCATGGGTCACTTTGTTTGACGTCTTTTTTTTGTCACTTTGCATAACACACACACACACACACGCACGCACACACACGCACACACTTGCTTGCTTTTGAACTTGAGCCACATGGAGGTGTCAAGACGAGCAACATGGTTGGCCGTGCAAAATAGAAGGGCCTCAGTCTGGTCCTACCTGTTCTGTACGGCACACACACATACACACACACACACGCACGCATGCACGCACGCGCACACACAGCCACAGACACAAACACAAACAGTGCAGAAGCGACAATGTTTGTCTTGTTTACTCAGGTTCACTCCAGACGTCTAAAAAGATGAGTCAAATCATTATTACGGCTCTGTGTGTGTGTGTGTGTATGTCATACAAGAACGCGTGTTGAACGGAAGCCTGAATGTCATCGCAGTAGGGCAAAACCCATACGCCAAGGCCAAACCGTCAACATTTTGCTCCCAGTGAAGGTTTAAGTCGCTTCTTTTGCATTGGTGTAATTCTGCTTCAGAACTGACAACTGCAATACACATGTTAGAAGTGAATATGTGTACTCGTGTGTGTGTGTGTGTGTGTGTGTGTGTGTGTGTGTGTGTGTGTGTGTGTGTGTGTGTGTGTGTGTGGAGGAAGTGTGTGTGTGTGTGTGTGTGTGTGTGTGTGTGTGTGTAGCGGAAGTCTGAATGTCACCCCCAGTGTGCCCACCTCTGCCAAGGCAAAGCAATCACAATTTGGACGTGGTGAAAACACACCTCCGCTTCATTTTGTTCTGTATTTTGGGTGTACAATGAAAATTGATATAATATGATATCATATAATATATTGCAACTTAATGCTTCACATACGTTATGCGTATAAAAAAATAAAATCGCACACTTTAAACAAGAAAAAAAAAAAAAAAACCTCATTGGAGCCAAAAAGTTTTAAAACGTCATTGAAGACATTTGAGGATGTTTGGTTGTCAACCCTACAGTCAATATATTTTAAAAAAAGACAGGGAAAACAAACAAACAAAAAAAAAACCACCACACACAAGTCTGCATACCCGTTTTAAATGCCACTTTTTGCAGGGTGACTGATCTCTGATTAACTCCAAATAAAGTTCTGACGTTCTAGTAGGCTTTTCCTGACTTTTTTTGTTTTGTTTTTTTGCTTTCTCGCAGAAGCCTGAAGGTTTCGTGCTAACACGGACTGTTATTTGAAGCCGTTCATAATTCCCACCATCTTGTCTGAGGCCCCAGTTCCAGCTGTGTGTGACAGCCTATCACACATTTTCCCATTGGTGTTTGGGAGACTTCGAGTGTCATTTTTTTCCCCCCTCTCTCTCTCTCTCTCTCCAAAATTTGGAAACGTTTGTTTCAATGAAGTTGAACAGGTTAGTGGTGGAAAAAGTTTGCCAACGATTTATCGTAATCTGATGATTAATTGCACAAGAATCTGACATTTGAACAGGGGTGTGTAGACTTTTTCTATTCACTGTCTACATGTCCAGGGTGTACCCCGCCTCTCAGACCAAAGTCAGCTGAGATAGGTTAACCCTAAACCGGCATAGTAAATAAACGGATGCACATAAGTTTGATTAATAAAAAAAAAAAAAATGTTGACTAAAAATGGGACTAATAATCCCCAAGATCTGAATTTGAATCAACAGTGAAATTTCTTCGACTGATTTCCCCTAAACGCAGAAATATGATCTTTCTTTTTGTTGTTCGTTTACGATAACAATGCGCGTGACCGTGTTATGAAACCGAAGCGCACCGACGTCGTCATTTTCTGGTTAGCGCGGCGAGCAGGCCGCATTTCATCAAGCCCAACTTGTTCTTGAACTGGGTTTGGGGACGAACGCAAAAGCAACCTCGCCGCCGGCCAATTCCAATTAGTGTTTACACTCAGGCAATGGAGGAGGAGGACAACACACACACACACACGTAAAAAAAAAAAAAAAAAAAAAAAAAAAAAAAAAACGGTCAAACTGTCTCACTTTGGACTTGAGCTTGTCACTGTGGGCTGTTTCCTTAAGGTGGATTGTTCCGGTTATCCGGAGTTGGATTGCACCTCAGGCTGGAGGAGGCAGAGGAGATTTGATTAAGTCAACACGTAATGAGCGGTTATTGTGGTCTTTTTTTTTTTAAGAGGAATAATGTAAAAAGGTTGAGCGCGAGTTGAGGTGTCAACTGTCAGGCGGGGTGTCCGCTTACACGAGAAGTCGCCGCAGGTGGCCGGAGGCCGCCATTCTGACAGTTGTTGGGAGTCGCACGGATGATGATGAGCCCTGCGGGGCCTTTGCGCCGGGGGCACCCCCGGTGGCGCAGAGAACCAGAATGGCAGCATATTTCTGGACAGGCGCGCGGAGAGTCGCGGAATCGAGAGCCTTTGTCGTCAGAGCCGCCAGCCTCCCTTCGTCTATTTACAAGTCGTCAAATAGCCTGGGAGATCTAAAAATGCAAAAAGAGTGAATTTTTTTTTCAATTAAAAACAATGGTCGGAAGCAAATGGCTTTTGTGTTAACGCCCTCTTACTTTGAAAGAGAAGGAGTCAAAAGTGCGCGTATCTGTTTTCAAACTGTCGGGAGTACAAGTCAAGCGTCGTGACTCATTCTACAGATACGTGAGAATCTCCTGAGGGACAAAATATTCAGTCAGTTTTCAATCGACGGTACAAGTGGCCGAAATTGTTGCGAGCGAGGTTGAGAGACACCATAACTTGAGTGGAGAAAAAAAAAAAAGAGCACAAAAAAACAAAAACAAAGTTTGAGCACATGCCACGTTCTTAACATTACTCAACAGGCCACGCCCCTTAAAGGGACACACACACACTGCACTACATCTGTTGTTGTGACTCAGCTTGTCCCAACATAGTGATTACACATTCTCGATCCCGTTTTATTTCTTGACATTGTCTGTTTTTATACAATACAGTGCGATTTAAACATTTTAAAAAATGTATTAAAAATGTAAAACTAAAACGATTCGGGGCATTCGTGGGAGTCGGGGGCTGAAATGACTCATCTACTTTCATTCTATTGAGATGCCATTCATTCGGGAACCAAAAGTTTAGCCAAAGAATTAAGTGGACGGAAATCACAGAAATCTGTTATTTTCCCAAAACTAAGTTGACCTTATTTTTTATTTTTATTATTTTTGGCATGTAGTTAAAAATAAAAACTGTGAGCCAAAGCCTATATTTTAGATCAGAAGATTTTATAGCACACTACTAAATTTATGAAGCTCCTCAACTATATTCAACATAGTTCCTCGGCAACAGAAGAGGGTGCATCCGCAAGAATTGTATCAAAGACGCGATTGGTCCCCAGAGCAGCACGTTGCGAAATGCGGCCGATATTTGGCATGTTATCGGCGGCAAGCTTTCTCATTCAACCACGTCAACAATAAGGTTTCTACGACTTCTGTAATTTGAGGTTTGGACTCGGTGTCCGTCAATCCTCGAGCCACACGCGCTGCCTTTCATTGCCTCTCTTCTTAAAACACATCGCGGTGGATTTCGACACACCAGACTACACCATTGCCGTGCCTACTTGCTTCGTTTTTTTTTTTTCTTCCAAAAGTAATACGAATTAGGCTTCCTAATAATATCGTGAGCAGTTTTCCACTTTCTCCGGAGTCTGAGAGCTCATTTCGAGCAAAAGAAAAAGGATACCTGCCATGCGCGAGACACCAAAGCGGCAATGTTGACGCGGCGTGAGAAAAAGCACAACTGAGCCTTTCAAAAAAAAAAAAAAAATGCACTCCAAGTGTGGATTGGGGTTGATTTACAGTAATAAAGCAGTAAGGGGGGATATTGAATATCATCGAGGCCGACTCAAAATTCTCCAAATATTCCAACTTTCTTCACGTTCTGGCAAAACAGAACGGAACAAACCAAACAAGAAACGCTAAATGTGAAGGAAGATATTCAGGAATTGTCAACCCTAAAAATGGTTGGTGTCTATTGTAAAGCATGTCTCTCCTTGTGGTGAGTTTTTAATAATTAAAAGCAGTGTAGCAACAATTATATATTTTGGGGTTTTGGATTTAAAAACAGACGAATAATTATGATGTCGAAATATTTCGGAAATGGCAGAAAAAAAGTCCGCAAATTGTTGCTTTCCATTAAAACGAACGTATAAGCAAATGTTCCCTTTTTAAAACAACAAAATATTCTTTAAGTTTTGGACAAACAAAAGAAACATGAAACTAAAACAAGCAAAAGAAAAAAAAAGTACATTTGGAGAAATTTGAAAAAGACTGAAAAAAAAAAGATTTTTAAAAGTTATCACCACATGATGTGCGCACTTACAACAAACTTCAAAAAAAAAAAATCGGACATCCACGTTTTTAGTTGACATTAAATTTGGATTGGAAAACAAAGAGATCTTAAGATTTAGATGAGAAGATAGATTCAAAGAACACAAAAAACGTTTGGGAGGTACGCGTATGTTTACGTGGACGTCAGGTTTTGGATAGTAAGAAGAAAAAAAAAACTTGTCAAAGTCTGATGATAATATTTGGGGGATACGTGTTTTTGCAATGGTCTTCTTTGAATTAAAAAAAATATATAAATAAAATACAAAAATTGACCATTAAAAAAAAAAAATCAACAAAAATACATCACCAAAAAAAAAAAAAAAAAATCACAAAAAAAAAGCTGCAAATTTTGAGGGAAAAAAGAATAAATTGATGACAAAAATAACAAACATTCTTTTCATTGGACATCAAGATTCAGACAGAAGGAAAAAAACAATCGAAAAAACGTAGACACATTTTTTTTTACAAGACAGCCACAAAAAAACTATCCGAAACCCAACATTTGAGCATGTTGAGTATTTTATCACTCTTTTAAAAAACATCTACTATCGATATCAAATAAGACAATTGTTTTTTTTTTGTGTGTTCCAATGAGCTAGCTCGCAACCTTTCGCTATTCTTGCAACATATTGATTATCAAGCTCGACTGATAACATGGATTATCGTGATCATCACTTGACAAAATCCCCACAAAGACTTTTTTTTTGTTGTTGTTGTTTTTAGGCCTAACATGAACTTTAGCATGCGCTAGCCGCTTGACGAAAGGCGTCACGTATAACGGATGCGCCTTTCCCTAATCTGATCTGCACACTTTTTTCTCCCTCTCTTTATTTGCACCATATGGCTACACGCACACACACACGCAAACACGAGCACACACACACACACACACACACACACACACACACACACACACACACACACACACACACACACACGCACACACACACACACACACACACACACACACACCGGAGTGTAAGTAAGCAGACGACAAGCTCACAGGCGTTGATTGGCTTCCGATTGGCTGTCGGCCATTTCACTTTGTTCCCTCATTTTGCTTGAATATTTCAGCATCGTCAGCCGAGCACATCTGATGAATTTTGTACGCCGCGCTCATTCGCTCGCTCTCGCTATCTTATCGCGCAAAAAGTTTGTCAAACGCCGATGCCTATCTGCCCACATCGCGCCTCGTCGAGTCATCTACGGCGACGGCGGGGATCGGCGGGAGCTCGGCCGCCTTTCCCCCCCTTCTGGAGCGCTTCGCCGCCTGCGGGGGCGGCGGAGGCTAAAGTGAGGCCGCTTGTCGTTTGAATTTTTGATTGCAGCCATCTGCGATGTCGTCGCCGGTGTCGTTCACTCCCAAAGGGAGCGAGAATCACCCACATGCAATGCAAGCCCCCCCCCCC